TACCCGCGCACCTGAAGCCGCAGCCTTGATTTTTGCCGCGGGCCGAGCACGCGGCCGGATCACCGGACATCCACCCGGACGTCTCCGCTCTGCCCACCGGGTCCCGCCGATCTGCCTGCCTGCCCAGGATCCTCCCCCCTCAGCCCTGGGTCCTCGCTGATTACCCTGGACCTCCAGGAACCGGCAGCTCAAGGACCACCCCAGACCACCCGCGTCCAGCCGCTGGCACCCCTCCCTCCTCGGGCACCCCATTCAACACCCCAGCGGCCCGCACCCGGCGACCCTGACCTGGGAACTGCTTTGGGCCTCCCAGCACCCTAGCACCAGCCGGAGACCAGGGACCTTTCCAGGACGCTGCCGCACCTCCGCTACCTGCATCGAGAGGGTAAGCCTCCCCTTTCGGGCACCTACCACTGAACTGCCCAAACCCTATCCAATTCGGCGGAGCCAAGCCAAGCCTACCACACGGCCTTACCGCTCCCACCGATGCAGGGCCCCTAGCACCCCCAGCGACTACCCCACTCCACCTCCAGACGTCGGTCCTCACCACCTCCTGCCAACGGCCCCTCTACACCGCCTAACGCCGATCCCTTCAACACCTCCTGATGCCGGGCCCTTCAGCACCATCAGCGCCTCCCGACGCCGAGTCCTCAGCGCCTGGCCCTCAACATCTGCCTGCGCCGGCTCACTTCGTTCACGGACGCCGAGCCTACTACAGCTGCCAACGCCCAGCCTACTCCACCTCCAGACATCGATCCATACCACCTCCTGACGACGACCCTTCCACTCCTCCTGACGTCGGGACATTCAGCACCCTCAGCGCCTCCCGACGCCGAGCCCTCAACACCTGGCCTCAACTTCTCCGGTCTCCGAGCCGCCAGCATCACCAGATGCCGTGCCTACTGCACCCCAGACGTCGCGCCCTACGACCCCCTCCGCTCACCGAACCACCGCACCCACTGATGATGTGCCGCCGCACCCACGGACACCAACCTACTTCACCCGCAGACTACTACCAACCAGCTGCTATCCTTGCTGCCCTCCACTCTCTCCCTCTCCCCTCACAGAAGAACTCAATAGTCTCCTCCACAGCGCTACAGACGCCCTGTTTCACCATCCCGGACCTGCACCGCCTCACCTCCACGGCATTTCGGACACTCTGCTTTGCCATCCCTGACCAGCACCCCTTCACCCCCCTGACCTTTCCAGCACCCCGCTCACCCCAACATGCCGCCCGCGCTCCTCCTCCTCCTCGTCCTCCTCTCCTCCATCCCTAAAACCGCCTCCCTCTACCCGCCCACCCCCACTAAGCAGCTCTATATCGCCCCCTCGCTTCTCCCCTCTCCCCATTACGGCACCCACCACCTCCTCCTGCTACTCCACTTCCCCGCTGACCCACTTGCCACCACTTCCAGACCCACACACTCCTACACCTCCCGTTCCCACGCCACCTTCCTCACCCCTCCTCCTTCTCATATCAGCTGGGGACATCTCCCCGAACCCTGGCCCCCCCTAGAGCCCACCACCTCACACCCCCCCTAGAGCCCCCCCTGCTCATGCCAGCCGATGCGACCCCCTCAACCTCATACATATACCCCTCCTCCCTGTTGGGAATGCAACAGCATGTACTATAATGTACTATATATAGTATTGTGTGTTAATATCACTTGACCAGTAGATGGCACTATACACTAAAGGTTACTAGTTGTGTATATCTGAAAACTTGTTTGTTCCTCTCCTCTCTATCATCTCTTCAGGAAGTAATGTGTCTGTAACATGTCTGCTGAGAAATGTGCTCTGTATGTTTTTGCAACTTAAGCCACACAAGTAAATTCATAGTTCTGCCTCATCACTACCAGTGTCTTCTATAACACATAACCAACAGGTTATGGGCCCAGCTCCAGACACTGAAAAAGGAGAACTACAAGCAAGTAAGTGCTGCATTTACAATCCTACCAATTCACTGAAAGATGGCAAGTGCTTCAGATATGAAGTTTACAATAGCAAAGCTCAACAATACCAACTACCAGCTATGGAAGTTTACGCTTGAAATGCTGTTATCCAAAGATGACTTGTGACCGGTACTAGATACACACAGACCCAATGACAACCCGGAAGAATGGGACAGACCCAATGACAACCCGAAGAATGGGACAGACCCAATGACAAACCCGGAAGAATGGGACAGGAAAAACAGGCAAGCAAAAGCAGTCATAAGCCTGTTAGTGGAGGACGATCAACTCATTCATATAAGAAAGGAAAGCACAGCTAAAGGTATGTGGACTGCATTACAAACACTGCATGAATGTGCAAACCTAAACAGTAAACTATATCTGCTACACAAACTGTATAAGATGAGGCTGGAAAAAGGGCAGGAAATGGGTGAACATGTAAATGCCATGCTAGAAATTGTGGACCAGCTGGGTGCAATAAGTGAAGATTTAAAAAGCAACCATGTTGTTTCAATACTTCTGCGCAGCCTTCCAGAATCATACAGTGCCCTTATAAATGCTCTAGAAACTAGACCGGAAACTGAACTGACGCTAGAATATGTTAAGGAAAAAAATTAATTGATGAATACAGCAGAAGAAAGGAAAATTTGCATAGTGAAGAGAACGAGAGACCAGAGGCAGCTCTGAAGGTGCATGAAGGCAGAAGACAAAGCAAAGAAACCAGGGTATGTTTTCGCTGCAAAAAGGCCGGTCACCTGAAAAAGAACTGTTCAATCTGGAAAGCTGAGCAGCGAAAGCGGGAGCTACCCACAAGAGAAAGAGCTAAAGCGGTCATGAAAGAAAATGAAAGTGCATCATGGAGTGGTACTTTTAAAGTGACTCAGAATAGTACCTCACATGGATGGTACATTGATTCAGGGGCAACAAGTCACATGACAAGCGACGAGACATTCTTCACAGAAATTGATTTTAGTGTAAAAGATAAAGTCTTCCTAGCAAACGGGAAAAGTATTACAGCAGAAGGTAAAGGTCAGGGATTTCTGAACTGCAAAACGCCATCAGGGGGCAAGCAGAGCATCCTTGTAGAGAATGTTCTATATGTTCCAAGCCTAGAAGGAAGCCTCCTATCAGTTAAAACCCTGGCAAGCAATGGACTCACTGTCCAGTTCAGAGGTAATGAATGCACAATTCAAAATGGAAAGCAAATTATAGCAAGAGGAAGGTTAAATGAACATCTGTACAAACTCATCACTGAAAGTGAGAAGGCTAATGCGGCAACTCATACCCCACATGACAAGTGCATCCACCTGTGGCATAGAAGATTGGGGCATCGAAACCCAGAAGCTATAAAGGACTTTGCAAAGAGAGGTCTATCAGAAGACATGAAAATATTGCCTTGCCACACACTCAGCAAGTGCACGTGTTGCATCAAAGCAAAGGCCACCCGAACCCTCTTCCACAGACCAGTCAGAGTAAAACCATTAAACCCATGGAACTGATACACAGTGATGTGTGCGGGACCAATGAAAACCCATCACACCTGGCAGGAACAGATATTTACTGACTTTCATTGATGATTATTCCAGGTACACAATAACGTATCTAATGAAGCACAAAAGTGAGACATTAGAAAAACTTCAAGAGTTTGTAGCTATGACAAGCAACAAGTTTCAAAGGAAACCTGGAATAATACGCACTGATAATGGAGGGGAATATATGAATAAAGAGATGGAATCATACCTAAAGAAACAAGGTATTATACACCAAACAACTGTACCATACACTCCTGAGCAAAACGGTGTAGCGGAAAGAAAGAATCGCACTCTTGTAGAAATGACCAGATGTATGATTTCGAACGCTGCCTTACCTAACAAATACTGGGGAGAAGCAATAATGACTGCGACATACCTACAAAACAGGCTCCCATCAAAAGCTGTTGAGAGTACACCATATGAAATGTGGAATGGATCAAAACCTAACGTAGGACACATCAGAGTATTTGGCTGTAAAGCATATGCCCACATTCCCCAAGTCAGAAACGCTCCAAGTTGGAATAACAAAGCCATAGAAGGCATTCTGGTGGGCTACAGTGAGCAGAGTAAGGGATATAGAATCCTTTGTCCAAAGACCAACAAGGTCACAGTAAGCCACAGTGTTTATTTTGATGAAAGTGAAGCAACAGATAATACAATTCTTGAAAAATGTGGAGAGGATTTACACACTGAATCGGCAAGAGACGCTGACCCATGCGAAGCAGGACAAGAGCCAGAACAAGAAGTGGAACTTACAATCAACGAGCCAATAGAACCCACTGAACAACAAGAAATCAGAAGATCCTCACGAATGACTAAAGGGATACCACCCCGCAGGTTATCATACGCTGCTAAAACACATCAAACACAGGAGCCAACATCCTGGGAAGACATAGAAACTTTGCCGAGAAGGGAAGCCGATCAGTGGAGAAAAGCAGCTGAAGAAGAAATAAAATCACTTCAAGAAAATAAAACTTGGTCACTAACAGAACTTCTCTCCTGGTCGCAAAACCATCGGAAGCAAATGGACTTTTAAAGTGAAATATGATACAGAAGGAAACATCTATAGATACAAAGCAAGATTAGTTGCCAGGGGATACTCCCAGAAATTTGGAGAAGATTACTCAGAGACATGCAAGAACAAGGGGTTATCGACATCCAGTACTGCCCATCAGAGGAGATGATTGCAGATGCACTCACCAAACCTTTGCCAAGGGAACGTTATTGTTTTCTACAAAAGAGACTAAATGTCATATAATTATGCACATGCCGTTGAGAAGGGGTGTTGGGAATGCAACAGCATGTACTATAATGTACTATATATAGTATTGTGTGTTAATATCACTTGACCAGTAGATGGCACTATACAGTAAAGGTTACTAGTAGAGATGAGCGAATTATTCAAAAATTTGATTCGGCTGATTCGGCGAATTCGAGGAATAAATTTGATTTGAGTCGAATATATTCGCTGCAAATTTAACTTATAAAAAGGGTGTTTCTAGGCTTCAGAGAGCCTTTATATTAGTGCAGAACACTGTACCTTTAATTTAAATGCCCTTGGAGTCTGCTGGGGAAGAGAAATAATACTGTCAGTCAGTATGACATGCAGATGAGTGCCGTCGATCTTAGAATCACCGCACACTTCACTCATTTGGGCAGTCACGGGGCCAAAACCAGAGTGTGGAGCCACAGTGTGGCGGTGGAGGCAGCAGCAATGGGAGGCCATACAGCACCCTATGACAAAATGGAACCCACCAGCAGTGTGAGGAGACCTGAAAGTGGCACATGGCAGAGTGTGGCGATGGAGACAGCAGCAATGGGAGGCCGTACAGGGACCCATGACACACTCTGGACCTGGCAGCAGCATGAGGAGGCGGTACAGGGGCCCATGACAGATTACGGGCCTGGCAGCAGCATGAGGAGTCGGTACGGGGGCCCATGGCAGATTACGGGCCTGGCAGCAGCAATGGGAAGGCCCGTAATCTGCCAGCACCCTATGACAAAATGGAACCCACCAGCAGTGTGAGGAGACCTGAAAGTGGCACATGGCAGAGTGTGGCGATGGAGACAGCAGCAATGGAGGCCGTACAGGGATCCATGACACACTCTGGACCTGGCAGCTGCATGAGGAGGCGGTACAGGGGCCCATGGCAGAGTGGCGAAGCGTAAGCAGCTTAAATTGAAGGTCATACAGAGGCCTATGTTAAAAATAATAACATGTTTGGGGCATGATTCATGGCGGATTTAGTCAGTTGTGTCAGGAACTGGTGGTTTGAAATCCAGACTAATCCACGCCTGATTCATTTTCACAAACGTGAGTCTCTCCACACTTTGGGTGGACAGTCGTGTCCTCCGCGGAGTTACAATACCTCCTGCCGCACTAAACACGCGCTCCGATGATGCCAGTGGAAATGGCCACGCTACTGGCCGGGCATGACAGCCTTTCAAGGGCAAATTCAGCTAGTTGGGGCCAAAGGTCAAGTTTAGTTGCCCAGTAGTCAAGGGGATTGTCTACCTCGGTTGGCAGGGTGCTGTCCAAGTAGGCCCAAGCCTGTTGTTTGAGGTCCTGCTCCAGGTCCACCTGATGCTGCTGCTGCTGCGGCTGGTTAGTAGTTTCCTCACTGCGCTGGTGAAGAAAGCTACTCATCATCGACTGCAGACTGAGGCAGCCGCTGCTGGTGGAGCTGCCACTGCTCCTACCACCCCCACCCCTCCCCTGCTGCCATGGCAGCGGAACGCGAGCGCACAGGGCCCACAGTGTCTGAGGATGGACATTGGCGCAGAAAGGCAGAGACCAACTGACTACATAGGTGGTTTTTATAGTACGTTATTTTGGCCTCCCTCTCAGCAGGTGTGAAAAAGGCCACCATTTTTGAACGGTAGCGAGGGTCCAACAAGGTGGACAGCAAAAGTCATCCCTCTGTCTGAATGGTTATTATTCGGCTGTCGCTACGCAAGCAAACCGAGCATGCTATGGGCCATTTTGTGCCAAGGAATGCGAGGGACTCCCTGCCTCCATCTCCACAGCATACTGCCACGGTGCGTCTGGGTCCTCTGTCTCCTCCTCCTCCTCTACCAGATGCTCCTGCTCCTCCACTCCTGTCCGCTGAGTGGAAAAACCACCCATTTCACTCAATAATTCCTGAGCACCAATGTCCTCCTCTACCTCCTCCTCTTTCCTGTCCTGCCCCCACAGGGGTCATGTGGCGTTGAGATCTGTGCGCCACGTCTACCGCACCCTGACCAGCCATTGTTAACAGCATTTGTTCCAGGACGTGCAACAGAGGAATGACGTCGTTCATCCCATAGTCCTGCCGACTCACGAATAGTGTGGCCTCCTCAAAGGGCCTGAGCAAGCGGCAGGTGTCACGCATGAGCTGCCAATGGCTGACATCTAAGTTACACAGGGGAGTACCTTTATCCGCTTGTAACATCAGGAAATCGGGTGATGGCCTTTCGCTGTTCGTAAAGGCGGTCTAACATATGTAGGGTTGAATTCCACCTTGTTGCAACGTCGCAGATCAGGCGATGCTGTGGAATTCCGTTCTGCCGCTGCAGCTCAAGGAGGGTGTTCTTTGCGGTGTAGGAATGGCTGAAATGCATGCAAAGTTTACGTGACATTTTAAGGATGTCTTGCAGTGGGATGGTGGATTTTAGGAACCGCTTGACAACCAGATTGAACACGTGAGCCATGCATGGCGCATGGCACAACCTTCCTTGACGCAGAGCAGACACCATGTTCTTTCCGTTGTTGGTCAACATGGTTCCGATTTTCAGTTTGCGCGGAGACAGCCATCTGTCTATTTCTCTGTTCATTACACTCAGAAGTTCTACCCTGTGTGACTACGTTCGCCAAGGCATACCAGGTGCAGCACAGCGTGACACCGTTGCGCCCTGCACATGTGATATGCCGGTCGGGTAATGGGACTTGGCACGGGGGTGGCGGCTGAGGACACGGCGGAAAAAGAGGTGGTAGAGGCGGACATGTTTGCTGGACCAAGGACGTGCAAACGTGGAGGCAAAAGCGGCGTGACCTGTCCAAGTTGCTGGTGCGGCTGTGCCGGCACCACGTTCACCCAGTGGGCCCATAAATGACATGTACTGTCCCTGACCGTAGTTACAGCTCCACACGTCGGCGCTGCCATGCACTTTGGCAGAGACCGACATGCTCAAAGAATGGCCCACCATCTCTTCTACATGTGAATGCAGGGCTGGCACTGCCTTTTTGGCGAAGAAATGCCGGCTTGGCACTCTCCACCGCGGCGCGGCACAAGCCATCATTTCTCGGAAAGGTGCTGAGCCCACCACTTGGAAAGGGAGGGACTGCAGCACCAGCAACTTGGACAGGAGGACGTTTCAGCTATTGCACCGTCGGGTGCGTGCTCGCAAACTGTTGTCTCTTGGAAACGGATTCCAAGAAAGACTGCTGACGGAATCCGTGAAGAGGGGGGGTAGCAGGAGAAGGAGCATCTGAACGAGCGGAAGATGCCATACTTCGCTTGGTGAGGGAACACCAAAGGACAGGGGCAGGTAGAGGACACGTGATTTCAGTGGGCTTGCTCCCGGGCCATGCCAACTAACGGTTGTGTCTGACGTACCCACCGACCGTTGGCTGTAGGTGTCAGAGGTGACCTGGGAAGAGGAAGACGACCGAGCCAACCAATCGATGATGGCAGGGTTGTCGGTGGAGACACGACCGCTGGATGACACCGGGAGCACTGGCCTCTGGCTGCGACTAGTGCTGCCTCGACCCCCCTTCCTCTGCTGCCACGTCTGCTCGCTCCTGAAACATTGCCTCCTCTGCCACGCGTGTTGTCTGACATACTCTTTAATTCAACGATTCTGTGTCCCTGAGTAACAATTCTGTGTCCCTGAGTAAAATTCTGTGTCTGTCCCTGAGTAACGATTCTGTGTCCCTGAGTAACGATTCTGTGTCCCTGAGTAACAATTATGTGTCCGTGAGTAACAATTATGTGTCCCTGAGTAATTCTGTGTCCCTCAATTCTGTGTCCCTGAGTAAACAATTGCTTGTGTCCCTCAGTAAACAATTCTGTGTCACCCTGAGTAACAATTCTGTGTCCCTGAGTAACAATTCTGTGTCCCTGAGTAACGATTCTGTGTCCCTGAGTAACGATTCTGTGTCCCTGAGTAACGATTATGTGTCCCTCAGTAACAATTCTGTGTCCCTGTGTAACAATTCTGTGTCCCTGAGTAACAATTCTGTGTCCCTGAGTAACGATTCTGTGTCCCTGAGTAACAGTTCTGTGTCTGTCCCTGAGAGTAACGATTCTGTGTCCCTGAGTAACAATTCTGTGTCTGTCCCTGAGTAACGATTCTGTGTCCCTGAGTAACGATTCTGTGTCCCTGAGTAACGATTCTGTGTCCCTCAGTAACGATTCTGTGTCCCTGAGTAACAATTCTGTGTATCTCAGTAACAATTCTGTGTCCCTGAGTAACGATTCTGTGTCCCTCAGTAACAATTCTGTGTCCCTGAGTAACAATTCTGTGTCCCTGAGTAACGATTCTGTGTCCCTGAGTAACAATTCTGTGTCCCTGAGTAACGATTCTGTGTCCCCTGAGTAACGATTCTGTGTCCCTGAGTAACAATTCTGTGTCCCTGAGTAACGATTCTGTGTCCCTGAGTAACAATTCTGTGTCCCTGAGTAACGATTCTGTGTCTGTCTTTTGAGTAACGATTCTGTGTCCCTGAGTAACAATTCTGTGTCCCTGAGTAACAATTCTGTGTCCCTGAGTAACGATTCTGTGTCCCTCAGTAACAATTCTGTGTCCTGAGTAACAATTATGTGTCTGTCCCTGAGTAACGATTCTGTGTCCCTGAGTAACAATTCTGTGTCCCTGAGTAACAATTTTGTGTCCCTGAGTAACGATTCTGTGTCCCTGAGTAACGATTCTGTGTCCCTCAGTAACAATTCTGTGTCCCTGAGTAAAAATTCTGTGTCCCTGAGTAACAATTATGTGTCCCTCAGTAATGATTCTGTGTCCCTCAGTAACAATTCTGTGTCCCTGAGTAACAATTCTGTGTCCCTGAGTAACAATTATGTGTCCCTCAGTAAATGATTCTGTGTCCCTCAGTAACAATTCTGTGTCCCTGAGTAACAATTCTGTGTCCCTGAGTAACGATTCTGTGTCCCCTCAGTAACAATTCTGTGTCCCTGAGTAAACAATTCTGTGTCCCTGAGTAACAATTCTGTTTGTCCCTGAGTAACAATTCTGTGTCTGTCCCTGAGTAACGATTCTGTGTCCCTGAGTAACAATTCTGTGTCCCTGAGTAACGATTCTGTGTCCCTGAGTAACAATTCTGTGTCCCTGAGTAACAATTTTGTGTCCCTGAGTAACAATTCTGTGTCTGTCCCTGAGTAACGATTATGTGTACTGTCCTGAGTAACAATTCTGTGTCCCTGAGTAACAATTCTGTGTCTGTCCCTGAGTAACAATTCTGTGTCCCTGAGTAACATTTCTGTGTCCCTCAGTAACAATTCTGTGTCCCTGAGTAACGATTGTGTGTCCCTGAGTAACGATTGTGTGTCCCTGAGTAACGATTGTGTGTCCCTGAGTAACGATTGTGTGTCCTGAGTAACGATTCTGTGTCCCTCAGTAACGATTCTGTGTCCCTCAGTAACGATTCTGTGGCCCTAAAGTCTCTGTGGCCCTAACTCTGTCCCCAATACACAGAGGTCTGTCTCTCTTGAATGGACCGTGAGGCTAGTGGAGAATTCTAAGATGGCCGGCGATTTATAGCTCCACCATTACACAAGTGCTGGCTGGCTGCTGCCTGATTGGCTAATGCGGATCTACATGTCATTATGAATGATTATGGGTCAGCGGCCTTGTCTAGCGCGGCATCTTCTCCAGAGATCCCCGCTCCGTGCACACATATCGCGCCGATTTTGGGTGATAAATATTCGCATTGTGCCTTGCATCGAATGTATGCTAAATTTTAGGATTCGGCGCAAATAAATTTTTCCTGCATCTTCGAAACGGGCAAATTCCACTTCAGTCATGTTCGATTCGCTCAATCTCTAGTTATAGTTGTGTAGATCTGGGAAAATTGTTTGTTCACTCTCCTCTCTATCATCTCTTCAGGTAGTTATGTCCTGTCTCTGTAACAATGTCTGCCTGAGAAATGTG